CCACCAAAGACTGACAATTTACATGACATATTTGTAAGTCCTCAAATTTGTATTCAACATGTGAATTATCCATAATTAATATTAGAAATTCTTTCCTTAATTTTGCTGCTCAATATCGGACATCTCTTTACATCAAAAGCAGAATGCGCATCATTGACTGTTGCATTTTTTACATTACGGCTACAATTGCAACATTTAGGAGACTGTTCCCTGTTATTGCATTCTTTTGTTTCATGTGGACCCGAGCAATGTCCACAAATGGATTCAGATTTGCAATTTTTAGCAATATGCCCGAAAGTAAGACATTTATAACATTGCAGTATCCTAATATGGTCTGCAAAACTGCAAGCAGAATATCTTAAAAATATCTTGTCGTTACGCAGCAATTTATNTCGAATCTCCGGTGCAACTTCCAATACACAACTTGTGTAATGCTTTCCAGTTTTAGGTTTATAAATATAAATTACTTTTATATCTACATCCGAAGTCACATCTCCATCTAGATTTTGCGCAATGAGCTCCTCTTTTATTTCCTTCGATGTCATTTCTACTGGAACACCATAAACAATAAGTCTCGGATTTATTTTAATATTTTCAATTACTCTCAGACCTTCCCTTGCCAAGCCAGGATTTGCCTTTATTTTATCTATGTTCGGAGAAAATGCTTCTATTCTGATTCCATTGTCACGTGTATTAGTTACCTTTTTAACTCTCAGTGCACAATCAGAAGGCTTTAAAATTTTACAAACCGCTTCCCTAGTTGTCTGCGATGAGTTATATTTTGTCATATTTTTTTCATCCGGCATAATCATGAAAGCCGTAGTTGCAGGAACTTCAAAGGCAGGGCCCCGAGAGATCTGCACTCTTGGCTGGTCTTTCGATGCAACAGATGCATATGTCCTATGCGCAGATACCGATGCATTAGTATGTGACGCGTTAGAGAAGCAAGTTTGCTTCTGACTCTCCTTTAAGCTACAGATGGCTGTCTTTAAATCTTCGATTCCATTGTCAACCGCCTCACGAGTTAATCTCTCCTCAAGTAAACAGGCAAGAGTCGTCGCTACCTCGAGAAATGCTTCCTTACAATACCTAAATGCTGACTCAAGTTGAGTTTTTTTATCAGCTGTTTCTTTGCTACTGGCTATTATTTTTATCATGGTATCATGATGCATATTTAATGACGCCTTTAAAACATTAATTCTGTTAATGCTAATAAAATCAATTTTATTTACGCCTACATCGGACACACCTGATGTGTTAGAAAACTCAGATGACGTAGATGTTTTTCTTCTCGATTCAGTTTTGTTGACGCTACCGCTCACAAGGCCACCGCTGTCAGTAACTTTGCTATTCGCCAGAATGTTCCCCTTCCTCATGTCGACGCATGTGCTAGAAGAACCAGCCAAACCGTCACCGACAGATTGAGAAAGCCACACGCGACTTCGGAAAAAATGATCCAGATCTCACCACTCTGAGGGGAGTGGTTCAGCGGCGAATTGGTTCAGTACCAACGGAGCACGACATCGCTTCGTTTCTCTCGGGCTCGCTCGAGAGAAAGTTCCGCGACGGTGGAGAGCGCTCCCTTTGGTCGGATGCGCGAAACGCGTGTGGGCGGAAGAGACGCGGGAGCTTCTTCTGGAGATATATATATCTTTGTTCGTGCGTCTAATTTATTCCGAGTGTGTATGTCGCGTAATTTATCATTCGGCCATTTTATTGTTATTTTTATTTTTTCTGACGTAGTTATTTCTTTTATTTTTATTTTGTTTGACTGCGGTTTTGTTATTATTTATTTTAATTTTTGACTTTTTCTTTATGTTATTTTTTTTTTTTTTTGATTTCTATATAATTTTATGCGGGCCCCCGAGTGTGAATGCCGCGAATTTCTTTATTGTATTTTATCCGAGTGTGAATGTCGCGTATTACTTTTGTATTTTAGTCGAGTGTGTATGCCGCGTTTATTTATTAATTCATTCATTAATTTAATTTTTATGCATGCGATATTTTGCTATTTTGAAGCATGCAGCAGAGTAGCTGGAAATTAGCCGCGCCGCAGCTCCCGGGTCCTTTATATTAGTTTAGGCACTGCGTGTGGCCCGGGAGCATATATACTTAGGTATAAATTAAACAATTGTGCGCACATTGTGAATATTGCCCCAGCCGGTTAGCTGGGGCGATATTTTATTCACAACCACCCGAACCGTGACGAGGGGGCGCATCTTACCCCTCACTGGAGACGGTAAGTATGTGCTCCCTCTCACGGGATTATTTGCGCCTCCTAGCCGGGGGAGCCATGTCCCCGGCCAATTTTTATTTTAACATATTGCGCGCGAGCGTGGGCGGCAGCTGCCGCCCTCACACTATTTTGTATTCCACCCCGAGGGAGCTTGTCCCCTCGGGGAACATTAGCTGGAAAATAAACAAAACGTTACTTTGTTCTTATCAGCTTAATATCTGATACAGACCGCAAAGCGGTCTCAGAATATTAAACTGATTTTTGGAACTGGACGGACGCCCGGAGCTTGCTCCGGCTCCGTCGCGGGTCATCCCGGTTTTGCAGTGCCGCCGGGTTTGGCCCAGCATTATTTAACACTAAACCAGTTCCAAAGATCAGTTTAATAAAACTGTTTTAGAGCCAATGAGGCTTTACCGGGACTAAAAAGCGATTTTCGAGAAATTCGTTTTCTCGAAAAAGTGGTTTTCGCGCGTTTTGTGTTTGTGTGTTCAGCGACTACTCAGGAGGCCCGGGGGAGGCGATACTTCTATTGTCCAGGAGAGGAGGACAGTATTTCGTGGAAAAGTGAGTTTCTTATTTTCGTTTCGGCTCCAGGATTAGGCTGCTCGTTCTTCGAAAAAGTGATTTTCCGGATAGGCGTGGTGAGACACCTGGCAGGATAATTGTTGCGTGTGCGCGTTTTATTTTTATTATTTTTGTCTATGTATTTATTTATTTATTAACTAGTGCGCGTCCGTTTATTATTTATTTTATTTTTATATTTTTTTATTTTTCGTGTCGCCTGCCAGGTGTAAATCTGTGTGTCTTCGATTGTGCTGTGTCATCTTCCTTTGTGTCGACAGGAGTTCTGTCCGTTACGGACAAAACTTTGAATAAATAAAATATAATTTGTAACACCTGCCTTCTTTTTTACTCCATCTTTTTTATACAGGTCCTGGTGCTGCTGCTGCGGGAGAGTGGGTGGAAATAATTTTAAATCTCTTTTATTTCTTTGACAAACTTTATTTTATTCTTTAACACATTGCTCTGTACACTTTTATTCATTTCACCCGTGTGCAGAGCGGCTTACGGTCGAAGAGATAACATTTTATATATTTTACACATTCTATTTTTCACTTCTGCCACCCACCTCTTGACACTATTATTAATAACATCACTTTTGCAGCAACTTCCATCTGCAGCACCTTGACAGGCTAGGTTAGGTGTAGTCGTTGAACTCCTGTCTTGTGTAGTACTCCTTCCGCTCGCCTATTTCTGGAAAAAATCATTTTACAGAGAATTATTGCACAGTGCCTGCAATAGGTGCCTGCCAAATTAATTAGTTAATTTATTTATACTTACCTGTTTACTTGTGTTATATATATACACGCTTCTGCTGACAGTCACCAGGCCGCATAACCTGTAAAACAAAGGGGGAGCATTATTGACATTTTCAGCGTTATAAATATTAAAAAGAGGGTTAATATATAGTAAGTTGGGATCGCGCGCTCCTCCCGATCCCAACCATATACAAATTATTGTTAAAAAATTAAAATTTACCCTCAATATTAACAAAAAGATTGCGGCTGGTGACACTCGTGTGCAGAGGCGTATCCGGCAGGCACATCGGGGTTTAGGTCGTTGCGTACATTCCACCCGTGCAACCTCGTCGTATCCGCACGCACCTGTCGAATAATTATTTTATTTTATTATTTATTATACTTACCTAATTGTTGTTGTCTGGTGGTAAATCCGCGTGACAGGTGCGTTGCTGTCGCCTACCGGGGCGACACCGAGCGGAGCAACCCCGAATCTCATTAAGGCGTATCCGCAAAATTTAAGGCGTATCCGCACAGGCACTGTGCCAAGCGTTCGGAAAATGTCCCTAGAGGCCAAGCATAGGGAAATAGTAATAGAGATCCCGCTTCCCGCGCACGAAGTTTGTCCTCGCTGCCACGGCAGCGACCAATTACGTCCCTCCGTGCGCGCGGGAACTTTCGCTGACCCGCCTCACCTTGCGAAACATCTCAAAAAGGACCACCCGGGGGATGCAATCGGTTATAAATGTGGATTCTGCGGGTACAGGGGGAAAACGAGGTACCCGCAGAAAGACGTAAAACTACATATAGAGAAGGTGCACCCCCAACCCCCGGTTGATAATGAGGCGGGTCAAAACAGATTATCTAGCGAACCTGGAGCCGCGCCATCTTCCGCGTCGTCAGCGGCCCCGACCACAGATAAAAATCCACCCTCGAAACGCAATCCCTCTGCGAACCCGCGGCAACCCGGCGCACGCGCCACCACCACCGCCACCAAGAGGGCCCGCCCAGCTTTAAGGACTCAACCCAGCGGGCTCTCTCCAACGACATCAACACCACCAACAGGACCATCCCCCACCTACGCAGCCGTCACAGCAGGAGAAGCAGCCGCCATCACCATGAAGCCGCCGAGAGCGACGGCTGCGGGGACGGTGCCCCAGCCGGGACCATCAAAAAGGGCCGTCCCGAAGAAGGCGTCGACGAGAAGAACTACTGCCGCGAGGAGAGAGTCGGTCGCGGAGTTATCTACCCCTTCGAGTGGGGGTAGTAACATCATCATCAGGAAAGCCGGCACCTCGTCGCTCGCGCGCCGCCTTCCCCCCCCCATCACCATCTTCCGCTGGAAGTTACACAGCAAGGGGGGGAGGAACATCTAGAACATCAAGATCGCCCGCCGCAACACCATCACCGCAGGAAGCCACCGGAATGCGGCGGGCTAACGGCGCGCCCAGCAGGAATTCCGGAGCTGCCAGACCGGTGCGTGCGCCCCCCCCACTCCCCGAAGGAGGGGCCAGCGAGGACATCAGCGGGGGGCGGCGCCAGCAAAAAGCCGTCCGCAAACAAATACAACTGGAGGGAGTCCCTCGACAGGCGGACGGCCACAAAGGCCCCGGTCGAGAAGAGCTCCGAGGCGACGAAGCGAAAATTCCCCCTGTCTCTGAGGCGAGACAGGGGGCTGGCGTCACGGGGGCTGCAGAGCGCCAGGGTCTCACCCGAGAAAAGCTCTGCAGCTATGCCGGCCCGTCCATTGTCCGGCAGTCCCGTGGCGTCGCGACCGGCAGCAGCGGCGTCGCCACTATCGGGGGAGGCCAGCAGCAGGGGGGTGACATTACCCCCCTTTGACATACCATCTCCTCCTCCGATACCAGCAGCGGGGGCACCGAGGGTCACGTCCAACATCCGAGTGACGGTGCCTCCCGCACTATTACAACAATATGTGCCGACGACTTCGCTGCCCGCGACCGTCACCACCACCACGGTGACAACAACGACGTGTGGGAGCCCCATTATGGCCACGGGTCTCCCACTGGGGGGGCGCAGGACACCAAGCCCCCCCTTGCCAGCGAGACGTCGGTCACCGCCGGTGGTGCAACAACGAACCGTCTGGTCGCCCGCACCCTACAACGATGGATTCTCCTTCGTGATGGGAGAGGGTGCGTGGGGCCAGACGAGGAAGAAGAAGACTCCACCCCACGAACACCCCGGGGTGGAGCAGCAGCAACAACAGCGGCAGCAGCAGCAGCAACAACAACGGAGGTCGACGCCACCAGCGAGGGATTGTGGGGTAGCAGAGGTCCTAAGCGGTGGTGAGTGGACCGTGAGTCGCGGGCGAAGAGCGGGGAGAAGACACTCCGCCACACCCCCCGCGAACAAGTTCCCGATTACAGCGCCGGCGGAGTCTGGGTCGCGGGCGACGCGTACCCCGCCACCCGTAACGTCGGCGAACTATCCCCCCCTTCCGTTGCCCAGGGGGGAACGGGACATTAGTCCCCCATTAGTAAAGGCTCGGAGCGAGCCAGCCGGGAGCCCCGGCGCCGGAACGCTGAACAATGTCAGCGTGCCCGCCGCCGGGGGCGTTCTCCCGTAAACACAAATCCCACGACCCTAGGACGTGTCGAGAGGGAGTTAGGGACGAGATCGC